GACCCATCCTCTTCTCCCCCTACTGACCTGAACCCTGAACCCCCTCCCATTCAATGCCCCCACCTCCAGCCGGGACCCAGGCCTCCGGGCTCCCAGCCCGCCCCTCCTCCCGGCACTCCCTGAATGATCTCTCTCCTTCCCCCCCACCCCGAGGTACGGGGTTCCAGGAAAGGGGAGGGGTAGTGGGGGAGGGGGGCTTCAGAAGGGGGGTAATACCCCAGATCTCAGGGAACCCCGCCCCCTGCCCTTCTCTCTCCCCTAGAAAAAGGGGGGGCCGTCTCACCCCGAGCCCCCTTGGAGACACCCCCCCTCCCAAAAGCCATGTCCATCCAGCCCTTCCCCCTCAAACCTAGCACAAAACGGGGTTCACAAGCCATGGTCGGGGTCCGGGGGGACAGAAATGGATTTTCTTGGCAATAAGCGGACTCTGGGACTCCGGCCCCCTACCCCCAAACAGAAGCGCTTCCGTGAACACCCCCATCCTCCACAGGGGGAGGGGAGCAGGCGGGATCCTGGGTCCCTCATAAGCACTTTGGTTTTACCGCCTGCAACCTCACTGTGCCCGCCCCGCACCATGCCCCCGCCCCAGGTCTAGTCAGGCCCTTCCCAGGGGGCAGCACTTGGGGGCATCTCTGGCACTTGGGTGGGACCAAGTAGATGCCCCTATAGAACCTTCCCTCACCTTCATCCTCCCCAGTCCGGATTCCATTCTTTTCACCAGCACCCATCGCCCAAGGGGTACCGAGGGGGGCAAGGGGTGTCCAGTCCAAGCCCACCCCCCCTCCTCGCCTTCCGCAAAACTGTGAGCAAAAAGCAATAGAAGCCTCGCCCCCGTCCCTCCCCTTTCCGCAGGATTCGCAGAGTCTGTAGCCTCCCCTATCCCAGCTCCTAGACCTCATGGCTGTCCCCTCCTACCAGACACCACTGTACAACTCGGGCAGGGGCGTGACCTCCCCCTCCCCCGTGGTTTCCGTATCGTCAGTCCTTCCAGACACCAACCCGGGATGGGGACCGGCCCCCATTGGCCTTCCCCTCCCCATCAACTCTTTCTGCTTGACGATGTAGCAACCCTGGCCCCCACCCACGTCTTACCCTTTTCCCTCTCCCTGACAATAAAGTCTGGATTCGTTGCCCTCCGTCTCCCAGACTCAGACTCTCATTCTTTGCAAGCTTTTATGGGAGCAATTCCATCAGGATATGTATCTGTATGGTGAGCGGGACCGGCACACAGGAAAGGTGGCCAGAAGAAGGAGGGGGTTAGGAAGAGGCAAGATCCGAAGCTTGTGCAAAGTGAGCAGCGGCTCCCCATCCCACTCACCCCCACTGCGGTCCAGCTCAAGTGTAAACTTGGCCCTGGGGAATCATTCCGAGTCCAAGTCTCGGATTGCTGACACGGATGTTGAGAATTCTCCGCAACTCCACCAGGCGGCGCCAATGACATGGAAAAGAAGAGGCTAAGACTCCTGTGGTGTGTCTGATTCTAGGGAGACAGGTCTAGACCCAGTCTCAGACAAAAGAATCAAGGCTTTTGTGCCTCTGGTGGGAAACCCACGCCAGCGACACGCAAGGCATGGGGAGAAATGGGGGTAGGGACTGGGAATCTGAGTTCTAAGGCTCTGCTCCGCCCCATATCAAGTGTCCTTGTGTTAGTCCTTCCCCTCTGGACCTGTTTCCCCATTCACAAAATAAGCAGGTTTGGGTCTGTTAAAAGTTCATTGAGACTTCATGTATCCAAGACCAAAAATCTGGCACCATGCTACATACAGATATGCTAGAATACGTTCTCATCTGGTCCCCTAAATGGTCTGTGGGACAGGATAGCACACTGTACTCTCTCAAATAAGGGGGGCAGGGGAGGACAAGGGGAGGGAGGTCTCCTCTTTATCTCCAGAACTCAGTTCATCTATACACTCCCAAGAGAGCCAGTGACTTTGTGACCCCTCCCTCTAGCCCTGCTGTGTGGCAAGAAGATCAAACAAAAAAAGGCCAGCTCAGAATCCAGAATCTCTATGGGGTCCTCCTGAGTTGCAGCTTTGCTCACTTTCCCCTCTCTACCCACTTCCTCCTCTTGCAAAAGAAAGGAGAAGGGAAGATGATGGCTGTTAAAGAGGAAGGAGAGGGGAATAGGGCCCTCCTGGGTGTGTCAGCTATGAAGCTGAGGGTGGGAGTTCACTGTGCATTCAGAAATGGAACCCAACAAGGAGTTTTCAGTTTCCACCCCCACCCCCACCCCTGATCCATCTAGCTAAAAAAAAAAAAAAAAAGGCAGAGATGAGCTCCAGAAGTCTTGAGGGCAAGAGTGGCCCAATAGGAGAATAGGTGGGGAAAATAGCAGGGCCTGGCTCACTTGGGGAGAGAGACAGGGGCTCGAAGAAATTAAGGTTAGAGGGGCTGGGATACTAGCACGCCCCCACGAGTACCTCAAATCTAGTCTAAAATTGAATTCATGATTTACCCCTTCCCTAAATTTGCTGTGCTCCTCACATTCCCTATCTTAAGAACACCGACATCCACCTGGAAAACTGGGATTCATCCTAGTCTTCCCTCTTTCTAACCCCTCACCCAATGAGTCATTAAATAAGTCCTATTTGACTTCTTTTTTTTTTTTTTAAAGATTTTATTGGGGAATCGGGGAAGGGGAACAGACAAGTTGCTGTCCCCTTTGTTCCTCGGTCCAGCTGTGGAGGATGTCGCTTCACTGGCCCATGTTGGCACCATCATTGCGCTCTTCCCGAGTGAGGCAGATCGGTCGCCCGCCTCTGGACAGCCGCTCAGGGCAGCTGGCTCACGGCGGCTGCTGGCCGCTCACGCTGGCTGCCAGCCACTCACCGTAGCCCATGGCAGCCCACTGCAGCTTCACTGCAGTCCACATAGCCGGCAACTCAGGGCAGCCCAACTCCAGGTCGAGCTGCCTGTTCACCATCCCAGCTGCAGAGGGCAGCATCACTGGCCCTCATGTGGAATCCAAACCTGGGTCCCGCTGCTCAGAGCTGGCGTCCCATGCCAGCTCCCAACCAACGCGCCACTCGGCTGGCCCCTATTTGACTTCTTAACGACCTATTATAGATCCTTATCTCTGTTCTTTATTCCCACAACCACTGCCCTAACCAGGACTGGCTACATAATTTGTGGAGCCCAGTGCAAAATGAAAAAGCAGGGCCCCTTGTTCAAACAGGATCTCAAGACAGTGACTGCAGAGCGTTAAATCAAGTGTGGGGCCCTGTGCAAGTACACAGGTGGCATGCCCATGAAGCTGGCCCCAGCCCGAACTCAGGCCCTGCTTGTCTCTTGTCTGAACTGGTGCCTCTTTACTACTCTCTCATTCATTTTTGCCCTGTATGCTTTCACTCCTTACTCAGCTACCTTAGTGCCAATCTCCCCCATCACCTTCAGGATAGAACCCCAGCTCCTCAGCATGATACACAAGGCCTTCCTTTTTTTTTTTTTTTAAAGATTTTATTGGGGAATTGGGGGGGGGGGACAGTGTTGGGGAATTGGGGAATTGGGGAAGGGGACCAGCCAAGTTGTTCTTCAATCTTTGTTGTGGAGGGCGCCAGTCTCCATCTGGCAACTCGTGGCCGCTAAGCTCAAGGTGCTGTGTTCAATCTTAGTTGCAGGTGGGCATAGCCACCATCCCATGTGGGAGTTGAACTAGCAGCCTTGTTGTTAAGAGCACATGCCCTATCCACTGAGCCATCCGGATGGCAGCTCAGCTCAAGGTGCAGAGTTCAGTTTTAGTTGTGGGTGGGCGTAGCCCACCATCGAACAGGCAATCTTGTTGTTACACCAGCTGAGCCATCCTGCCACCTGTTAGCAGCTCAGTGACAGCTCAGCTCGGGCGCAGTGTCACTGGCCCATGTGGGAATCGAACCAGCTGCCCTGTTGCTCAGAGCTCACACTCTTAAGCCAACTTTAACCAACTGAGCCACTCGGCCGGCCCAGGCCTTTTTTGTTCTCAGCCTTGCTCACCTCTCCAGGATCTTTGTTGCTCCCTACCTCACACTCTTTGTTCACCTCTACCTAAACCTCTGTGACTCTATGCATCCTGTTCCCTTTGTCTAGAATGTCCTACTTACCTCCCCCAAAACTTCTGTTCATCATTCAAAATCCAGCACAGGTATCTTTCTGTGGACCCTTTCCTGATCTCCTCCTTAACAGCTAGCTCTTTTTCTCTAAGCCCCTGATACACTTGAGAGCAAGAGTTACCACTTTTTCTTAAAGGGCCAGATAGTAAATATTTTAGGTTGTGATGGCCAGGAGGCAAAATTGAGGATACCATGTAGGTATTTATAACTATTCAAAATGTAACCATTTTAAAATGGAAAAAAAAAATTGTTGGCTCATGGCCCACACAAAAACAAATGGCAGGCTAGATTTGGCCCATAGGCCAAAGTTTGCCCACCCTTGCTTTAGAGAACCAATTAAGCATTTATGTATTGGCGTATCTGTCTCCTCCACTAGACCATGTGCAAGCCCACGTACTAAAGCTTTTTGTATCCCCAGTGTCTAGGTCGGACTCCAGTGAATAGTAGGCATTAAATACTCGTACACATTTGTTGAGTGAATGGATGAGCCCTGTGGGGAGAGAAGCCAGAATCCTGGCTTTCTTCATCTGACTCCTTTTTTCAAATGTGCTAGGCTATAACATGGGACCCTCTGACTTGAACCATCCCCAAGTCCTGGAGAGAGGAAAGACAGTGCTCCCCCAAAACAAAGCCAAGGCTTCTGGAGTGCCTCGAGTTGTTCCTGGAACCTGGGCTTGTCCTTTGGCCCCTTGAGAGGTGGCCCAGATATTCTAATGCTGTCTCCACATCGCAACAATTCTTGGCAATGATCTTACAGTTGTTCTGCCATGCAAAGAGAGGAAGGAAACAGAGCTTGGGTTTCAGGAAGGAGAAAGAAAATAATGAGACAACTTTGAGGTAAGTAGCAGGGGAATTTCAACAGAGAAGCCCAGTTTTCACTAACCAAAGCAGAATGCGTGGGACCAGAGGCGGGGAAGGAAGTAGCTAAGGTTGGGTAACTGGGGGGTTTCTTATTCTTACAGTTTAGTATAACAGGAGACATGAAAGCAAGGTATCGCCTGTTTGAAGTCTGACTGCCTACCAGAAAGGACTATATCACTTCTTCCACTGGAGAGAGAATTGAAGGCTGGGAGAGTCAAGTGAGTAATTTTGTGGTGGATGTCCTTTTACTTTCTCTGTCTCCTCATCTCCCAGGTGGTAAAAACAGAAAAAAGAAAAGAAAAATAAAAAGGAAAAAAAATACAAAAACTGAAGCCTGTATGTGTGTATAGCTTAGGGGGCAGAGGGGACTATATACCAGTATCCTAAATATAGAGAGGGGACTCCTGGATGGTCTTAAGGGACAGGAAAGGCATTAGAAATCTTGGAGGGTGCTGGGGTTACTGAGACTATATGGATGGATACTGAATGAGGCCTGGAATTTTGAGTGGACAGAGACTAAGAGATATTTAGATAAGAATTTGGAGAAATCTTTGCGAGTGGAAAAGAACTAAGAGAGCCTAAGGAGAGGGTTGGGGATCTTGGGATGAAGAGGCTTGGGAATGGCTCAGGAGGCTGGCAAGCTCCCAGAGCGCGTGTCCAGGAGCCCAGAGTTGTTCAAGAGATCTAAGTTCAAAGTCAGGTTCTGACTCCCTCTTCTCCTTCTACTCCCAACTTCAGCCTCCATCATGTGGAACACCTCTGATGCCAACTTTTCCTGCTACCACGAGTCTGTGCTGAGCTATCGTTACATTGCAGTTGCTTGGGGGATTGTGGTGGCTGTGACAGGCACCGTGGGCAATGTGCTCACCCTGCTGGCCTTGGCCATCCAGCCCAAGCTCCGTACCCACTTCAACCTGCTCATTGCCAACCTCACAGTGGCCGATCTGCTCTACTGCACCATTCTCCAGCCCTTCTCTGTGGACACCTACCTCCACCTGCACTGGAGAACCGGCGCCACCTTCTGCAGGGTTTTTGGGCTCCTCCTCTTTGCATCCAACTCTGTATCCATCCTCACCCTCTGCCTCATCGCCCTGGGACGTTACCTCCTCATTGCCCACCCTAAGCTCTTTCCCCAAGTGTTCAGTACCAAGGGGCTAGTGCTGGCACTGGTGGGCACTTGGGTGGTGGCTTTAGCCAGCTTTGCCCCCCTCTGGCCTATCTACATATTGGTGCCCGTAGTCTGTACCTGCAGTTTTGACCGAATCCGAGGCCGGCCCTACACCACCATCCTCATGGGCATCTACTTTGTGCTCGGGCTCAGCAGTGTTGGCGTCTTCTATTGCCTCATCCACCGCCAGGTGAAGCGAGCAGCACAGGCGCTGGATCAGTACAAGCTGCACCAGGCAAGTGTCCCCTCCAGCCACATGGCTGGGACAGGTGAGGCCACGCCTGGTCGTTTCCGGAAGCTGGACAGCGGGATGGCATCAGGAGGGTCCGGTTCGGGGATTTCGTCTGAACCAGTCAGTGCTGCCACCACCCAGACCCTGGAAGGAGACTCATCAGAAGTGGGGGACTGCAAGGTAGCTAAGCAGATGGCAGAGAAAAGCCCTCCAGAGGCACCTGCCAAGGCCAAGCCAACTAAAGGAGGCCAAAAAGCTCAGGATTCTCCATCGGAGTTTGGGAAGGTGACTCGGATGTGTTTTGCTGTGTTCCTCTGCTTTGCCCTGAGCTACATCCCTTTCTTGCTTCTCAACATCTTAGACGCAAGGGTTCAGGCTCCGCGGGTTGCTCACATGCTTGCTGCCAACTTTACCTGGCTCAATGCTTGCATCAACCCTGTGCTCTATGCAGCCATGAACCGCCAGTTCCGCCAAGCTTATGGCTCCATCCTAAAACGAGGGCCCCAGAGTTTCCGAAGGCTCCAGAGTTTCCGTAGGTTCCGTTAGAACTCTGTCCCCAGTCACCAGAATCTGGAGCTGTTTCCTCCAGAACTAGAGTGGCCAGCTGGTAGATGAAAGTAAGACCTGTGGGCATTTTCACAGACAACCTCTCTCCAACCCCGAAACCAGGCCTCTCCATCCCTTGCTCAATGTTTCAGCCTTAGGCTGCCTAAGGTGCACTATTAATTATTAATAAATGAATTCCATTCTTTTAACGCTCAGGTGTGGTCTTTGGGGGAAAAGGAAACAGGCCAGGTTTGCTTTGCAGCTGGAACCTAATAGTGGAGGATTTGGGGGGGACACAGGTCAGAGCAGGGGCCGGAAGAAGTGGGCCTGGGACACAGTCTTCAGCTGAGGGGCTTCCATCTATAAAACGTGTGAATGTAAGAGGATTAGCCTTTTTGTTTAACTTCCCAGAAATGGTCCCCAACCCCTAACTACTGCTGCCAGGATCATCTCATCCCTGCAAACAGATATTTTTCAGCTCAAAAAAATTTTTTCAGACCATCTTTGATAGCCACTTCACTGAGGGTAGCCCCCTGGCCCTTGCTTTATCCAAAGAGAATGGTCAGGGGAAAGGACTCCTGCTCTGTGGAAATGGAACTGAGCTTGGCTGAGGTAGTAATGGCAGGCAGGCGTTCTAGCTGCCCCAGCACGGTCATGCTGGTTGGAGCTAATTCACCTGACCTCTCACTTCCCCCAGACTTGCTCTCGTCACCTGGGTTATGAAAGCAGAACAGAGACTCTAGTTAAGATGGCTCAGGAGCCGGGCTGAGAGGAAATCATACCATTCCCTTCCCCTAGCCTGACCATCATCCTGTCATCCTGTGCGGGCGCAAGCCTGAACTTAAAGCACCTGTGGCCACCAGGTGACGCTGGTTCTCTGTGTTTCTTTTCTGGCTTCCCTGCTGAGGACAGAAGGTGTCAGAGGGACTGGGAGTACAGAGACAGGGTACCCTCCCTTCTCATTCAGCAGGGGTGGAGATCCAGCGAGCTGTACCATTCCCTTTTCGTTAAACTTAGGAAGAAAGTGAAGAATTAGACATTTATTATTCATGAGATATTTACCGTCTGCTTGGTTAGGGTAGTGGAGCAGGGTGGGCACTGTGCTGGCACTGGGATGGAATGTGAAAGTCATGTTGACAGTGACGCTGCTCTGGTTGCATGCTGTCCCCTCCCTGCCCCTAAGTCCACAGTTTGAGAGAACAAAGTGAAGTCCAGAGAGATTCAGACAAGGACAGAAAACTATAGTGGGAATGGACAAATCTATACCCTCACATTCAACACACTCCAGGGCCCAGGAATCCTGCCTCCTAATCTGGAACATGTCCTTCCACAAAAATCACAGCAGCCGAAACGGAATCAAGTTCAGGCCACCAAGGCAGGGCTCAGACAAGTAGGGTGGACAATAAAGAACCAATAAAGAGCATCAACCTGGGAGTACAGAGACCAGGGTTCCGAACGGTCAAGGTTCTCTGACAATTAGCTCTGTGAACCTAGGCAGGATCCTGGACAATTCTGGGCCTCGGGTTTTATTATCTGTACAAAGATGGGGGCAGATTGAACTCTTATGTGCCCCAGTGCTGTCCAAAATCCTGTAAATATATTTTGTGTAATCCCCACAAAATTTACCATGAGGTATCTATTATAATCTCTTGCTTACAAATGAAAAAAAAAATTGAAGCACAATTTGGGTTAAGCAATTTGTCTAAAGTCGAAGGGCTGGGGCGGCCGGTTAGCTCCGGTGGTTAGAGCACAGGCTCATAACATCAAGGATGCCAGTTTGATTCCCATATGGGCCAAAGAGCTTACACCTTACACAACTAGATTGAAGACAACTACTTGATTTTGGAGCTGACGGGTCCTGGAAAAGCACACTGTTCCCCAGTAAAATTTCTTTAATAAATAAAAATAAAGGAAGTCGGAGAGCTGGTAAGTGGTATGACCATGCTTTGAGGGCAGTCTGACTTCAGTACCAGACACATGTCTAACTACTGTAGGACAGCAGCCTTTCTAAAACTAGAATCAAGTGACCAAATGATCCCTAAAAGTCCTTCCTGCTCAGACCTTCTAAGATTCTGAAAGTTGACAATTCTCTGAAGAGTTGTAAAAGGGCTTACTTTTCATATTCCTTGAAGGCAATTAAAAAACTTTAGCAAGTAGAAATGAGCAACAATAGGGGTTGAGGTTAGACCTCAGGAGGGACTTCCCAACTATCAATCACTGGAAAAAATGACTCAGGGGACACAGGAGAAAACCCTAGAGTCTGAGACCAGGGAAGACAGAGCTTAGCAAAAAAGCAACCCCCTCTTCTTTCACCCTCTACAGCCCTCACATCTACCCTGGCCCCTAATTTCTATAAGGGCTGAGTTAGGGAAAAGAGGTATTTAAGATTCTCTCTCAGGCTTTCTCTCTCTTGTGGTGTGCATGGCGCGCGTGTCCACGCATTAAGTCCCTCATGATGCGGAGCCCACGCGTGTCTCGAGGGAGTATGTGCATTTGGAGGCCCTCCTGAGTGTGAGTCACTGTCTGTCTCCTTGTCTCTTTATCTCTGTCAGTCTTGCGCCGGAGCCCAAGCTCTATCGCTGACTTTCTGACGCTATCTCTCAAGGCTTCTCTTTGTCTCTTTCTATCTGTCCGTCTCTCCTGTAGGCTGTCTTCATCTCTTGTACCTCTGTTATTGCCTTTTTTCTCCTAAGCTCCTTCTCTCCCTCCTCCCCCGCTCCGCTCTCTCCGTGCCCCCTCCCTAGTCCCCCGCCCCCGCCGCTCTTGCTCGCCCGCACACTCTCTCTCTTTCGCTGTCTCTTACAGGCAGATTTATGGTCACTCCAGGGCCTTTCATTGGCCAAGCGCTGACAGGACTTGATTTAACGCCGCCTCTCATTGGCTGAGCTTGACAGGGCGATTTACGAGTCACTCTACCATTGGCCAAACCGCCTTGGCCCTGATTTATAGCTCAGTGGCTGCGGGGAAGGGGGGCGCAGCTGGGGAGAGAGGATGCCCCTCCCCTCGTCTTCGCTTCCGTCTCCCTCTCCCCGGTTTTTTTCTCCCTTTCCCTCCCCTTAAGGAACCGCACTCCCTCAACCTGTTCTTCAAGCCCCCTCCTCCTTTCTGTTTCATCCAGTGGGAGGGAAAAATGGGGTGTGGTGGTGGTGGGAACTGAAGCAGAGGATGGAGTCTGAGGGGGTAAATATGGACGGAGGAATCTGAGGGGTGGGAGTAGAGAAGATTGAAGAGGGAGAGAAAATACTGAACCGAAGAGCAAAGGGGAAACTGAGGAGGCGAAAGGGGTGACAGGAAAAAAAAAAAAGGAAGGCTGAGGAGAAAAATCTGAGGGAGCGAAAAAGGTGTTCTGAGGAGAAGAAAGAAGGAAAGACTGAAAAGAATGGGTGCATTTGAGGAGGCAAGTGGGCTGAAGCGGGGAGATCCAGGTACTGACTTTTCAAACATCACTATCCAGAGCGAATAAGAGACGGGAAATTTACTCTTCAGACAATACCTCTGAAAAGGGAAAGGCTTGGAGGAGCAAAAACACAGAGAAAGGCGCAGTAGAGAAGTGAGAGAGGAGCAGGAAAGAACTGGAAGGTAACAGTGAAGAAAAGTGGGAGGGAGACGGATGGAGAACTAATGGAGAAGACACACCTAAAGTTGGTTTTTATTTGTGTATGTGATGGGGGGGGGGATAATGAAAAAAGACTAACCCCCAGAGGAACTATTGAGAGAAACCACTCCTATTCCTCTCAATGAAGACCCATCGGCCTCTCCAAGAGGACAAGTCAGGCACCTCCCCCAGGAGATGTTCTATTTCCTCAAGGCTGCAGTAGGCTCCCCATTCCCTACACCTTACTCCTCCCCCTTGCCCACCTCCCCGGTTAAATTTATGAGTTCATGGCTGGCCTTCAGGAATTAGGAATATTTATGCTTCTTTGAGAGTGAGGTTTGGAAGGTGATAAATAAGGGACCATGAGAGGGTGCAGTTGGGGGCTCCTATTTTTAGCATGGTCATTTTCCCAAGGCCCCCACTCACCAATCCCCTCTCATCCTGAGCCAGAGAAGGGAGCACTGGGGAGGTGGGGAATGAGTTTCGGATATCAGGAAGGGGGTTTGACTATCCTGGAGAGCCCCTCAGAGCACTACAGATCTTTGCAGCAGAAGGGACTGAAGGCAGATTGGAGAGGAACTTTCCAAGCATCCTGGCATTTGTATGGCCCCTGGAGTGCAGTTACAGCATTTCTGCAGAAGACAGAGAGAAATGGGGAGAAGCCAGTTTCCTCTCTGCCCCACTAAGCTCAGTTGCTGAGGAATAGGGTAGAGGAGCCAGGAAATTCAGAGGCAGTTTTCTCTGGCATGTCACCTCCCAAGTCACAGGGAAAGGAAGACTTGCAATTCTCCACCCCCACCCCCACCCCCACACCACAGCCTGGGTCCTGGGAAAGGAGGCTAGCGATGTGGGGCTCAGGGCATCTCCTACGGTCTCAGCCCCCAACCTGTCCACCCCCACTGCTGGCTGAGAATTAAAACCAGCCGGTTCTTGAAATCCCTTGCCCTGGGCCTCCAGGAAATGAGGGAGGGAGATCTGTCCAGGGATCCACATGCCTTCTCCAGCCCTCAGCTCCAGGAGCCATGTGTCTGTGACCCTCGGCCCAGTAGGAGGGCTTGCTCTGGGCTTGGGTAGGTAGTGAACAAAGATGGATCCATGATATAATGGGGGTGTAAAGAGAACAGAGAGAGTTGGGGAAGAGCTGCCCCCCTCCCCTCACACACACACACACATACACACACACTAAGCCCGCCATCCACTATGGCCTTAGCAAGGATGGCCACAGCACTGCGCGCACAAACTCCCCCCCAGACTGTGTTGCCTGGAGTGGGAGGAGGGAGGGAGAGAAGGGTCTAGACTGGCCCTTTAAGAGCCACTTAGGGTCAGAAAGCCTGGGCTACAGAAAGGGGAAGGAGCTGATGTCAGAAGACGGATGGGCAGCAAGATGGGGATTGATGCTAATGGGGGAGTTAAAGCTAAGTACCCAGACACTCAGAGGGCAAAACTGCAGATCTGTCTTCCTTATGCTTGCCCCCCCCCTCCCCAAACCAAGGCTGTAAATCTGCCTTCTCAATTGGGGAAAGGGGGAGTGAGGAAAAAAACGAGATGCTCTCTTCTCCTTTTTCCTGTTTTTTTCCTTACCCTGTGCCACCCCCTCTTCCCAAGTCTTTTGTCCTCTCCCAATCTCTTCCCCGCAATCCATAACCCCTTCCCCCTAAAATTTCCAATTTTTGGCTTTCCATTAGGAACTGAAGGAATGGTTTCAGCCTGTAGAGGCATTTAGAAGGAAACCACCAGGAGGTCTCCCTCCCAGACCTGGATGGGGATGGGTTGGTGGGATTGTGGTGAAAGACTGGTTAGCAGGCTGGAAGCTCCCAGTTGCTTCGGTTTCTCTTCCCTCCAACCCAATTCTCACTTGGAGGTAACTCAAGCAGCCTTCTCCCAGGAGAGTAGGGTGAAGGCAGGAAGCAGATATTGGGTGCCAGGAGCTGAAAAGGGATGCAAGAGCTTCGGAGTTGGGTTTGTGGAGGCCTCTGACATACTATGTTGGAGGGGCTGATGGGCCTCCAAGGACAGCTAGGGAAGCTGCTAGAGCTGTCCACTACAAGATATATGGTCTGGTTTCTCGGAAACTCCTGGATCAAACCGTTCCCTCTCTGAGCACACAGCCTGCCTGCTGAGTAGAGACAATTTCAGGCCAATAGTCTATTTACTGTAAAGCCAGGGTCCAGCTGCTCCTCATACCTCTCAGGAGGCAGCTGGGGAGCTCCGGGAGGAAGGTGGCCTCAGAGGGGCTGGAGCTTGTAACCCTTGGGGAATTCCATTTCTTCCTTTATTTCCAGGTGAGACCACATCTCCCATCTGTCAGGACCCATAATCACGTCTATCGCCCTCTCTACTGGCAATCAGGGTCTATTCTTGAGAAGTTCCTCTATATTAGAGGAAGTCCGTCTCCATCACATGTTGCCGTGCTAAACCTGACCTCCTTTTTAGTCCTGCAACAATTGGTGCCTGATTACTCCTGGTTTCCAAATCCTCCTCAGTATCCATAATAGAATGACCTAAAACATCAATCTCATCTCTTCCCTCCTCCCAGGTTTTCCTTCAGAGGCCTAAAATCAGCTCGAGGCCATCCTCTCTGTTTTCTAAGTTTTCAGGAACAAGGGAGAGAGCAAGGTTGCAGTGGGAAAAGGTGGGGGTTGTGAGCAGGAGCCATTGGAACCCTGGCTTCCAGCCTCCCAGGATCTGGCCAAGCACTCCCTCCCATCCCAGGGAGGTCAGCCACTGCCCTCAGCACTGATCTCTGGCTGCTTCTCCAGCCTGGTGATAAATCCTGTCTTTGTCTCCCCTCCAACCTGGGCCCCAGGCGGCTAGGGGTCAGAGGCTGGGGGAGGGGTCATTGTGGAGGAGGGAGAGATACAAGGAGAGTGGGAGGAGAAGACGGTCAGGAGCAGCTGGTGAGCAGGCATGGGGGGTGGGCAGTGAGGGGATGAGGCCTCTTGATTCTGCAGACCCTGACTGCACGTTCCAGCAGGTCTGCATTCCAAGTGAGAAAGCCAGGATTCCTGAGGTGTGGAAACACCTTGGGAATGGCCCCTGGAGCATCAGAATACTGGGAGATGAGGGGTTGGTGTGGGGTGCCTCAAACAAGGAGGCTCCTGAAAGAAATCTGGGAATCAGAATATTGTGGGAATCATCCTGATCCCCCCACAGACTCCTACACATGTGTGCAGTGTGCGCATGCCCATAGATGGACAGACAGACACACACACCACACACACATGCACACACACAAGATTTATGGCCCATTGGCATAAGGGAGCCCAGGAAAGCCAGCCTGCCCCTTGCCTGGCCCCTCCCCAGCTGCCTTCTCTTACTGTGACTTTCTTTCCTGTCTTCATCTCTCCATTCTTTTTCTCTGCTCCCAGCCTTGCTGCTGTCTTTGTGCGGTTTTCTCTCCATCTCCCAGTTTGTTATGCTGGCTTTCTGCTCTTAGCCCCTCTCTGCCTCTTTGTCTCAGTCACTTTTTCTCTCATTGTGCTTCTGCTTCCATCTTCCTGTCCCACTCCTCCCCCCTCTCTACCACCTTGGACTCTCCATCTGTCCTGCCTCTGCTCTTAGGCTCAGCCTAAGGCTCAGCTGCTGCCTCACTGCCACCTCAGCCAGGGATCTCTGTCTGGCCCAGGGGGACAGGAGGGATGGAGAGAAGAGGCTCTGAATGAGTCCCTTGCTTTGGATACAGGATGAAATGGGGGGGGGGGGCAGGTGACCAGGAGAGCTCAACTATGGGAGGAGGGGTGAAACAGGAGGGAGGAGAGATTGATATAGAACAGATACTAAGAGAAGGGAAAGGACTAAAAATTCCCTCTAAGTGTGTGTTTTGGGTCAGTCTGAAGAGGAGGCGCTGAGGGGCATCTATCTACTGAGTCAGTCATATTGAGACACAGATCCATAGATAAGATCTGGAAACCCAGCCAGAGAAGTAGATATGGTGCTCACCGGGCAGCCACAATTCTGAGCTCCCTGCCTACCTGGGAAGATCTCACAGACTTCTTTCTCCTCTACAGTCATGGAGTGCTGGTTCCCTCCCCACTTACCTCCTCCTCCCTGACCACCTCCCCTCCCCACCAGTGAGAATGACATCAGCTCTGGCTGCCACTGTCCTCAGCCCTGCTGATGTACTCTCCCATGGGTGAAACAGAGGCCAGTCACCTCGACCCCACCCATTCATTCTCCAGTCCAGGAGCTGGGCTTACACAAGCCCCGCTCCCCTTGAGATCAGGAGGAGGCAGTACCAGGAAGGCCTCTGCAGGACATGGTGAAAAGGGGGGATGGGGGAAGACATGGGCACCAGGGGGAGGGAGAGGAACTGGAGGGGGGCACTTGAGGAAGAGGGGCTGCAGCACTAAATCACCCTGTGGGGGGCTCTCTCTGCCTGAGCTCAGTGGGGTGGGGAAAGGATAGACATTTGGGGAGGGAGGAGAGAAGAATAGGGAATCGCCACATCTGGCAGGCAGGTGTCTGGCACTGTTCAGGCTGCAAGTCACTTTCCCAGCCAAAGAGGAGGAAGAGGGAGAGGGGAGGAGGGGCGTCCCAGGGTCCCCTGGGAAGAGGGAAGGGCTCACAAACTGAGACAGAGGCCCAGATCAGACAGAAAGAGACTGAGGGAGCGAGATAATCAGACTCTGCTCCTCAGTCTCTGCCTCAGTCAGTGCCGGGGATGGGTTTGCTCATAGTTCTGAAAGAAAATTGTTGGCCAGAGGAACTGGGTAGCCCAGGCACCAGAGTTCCATTCCTAGTGGGAAACAGAGAGGGCAGGAAAAGCTCAAACCAGGCCAGGCTGGGGAAACAAGCTCGAAGAATTCCACATTTGGGAACTGGATAGAACTCCCCGCCACACGGTCATTGACCAGCCCCCGCCCGAGCCCCTCCAGTGCTCACACTGACATGCTTCCCGCTCAGGGTCAATGCTGAGTGGAGCAGGACAGTTAGGCGGGTAAGGCTCGGTGCTGCTTTTCCCCAACGCAGACAAGCCAAGACCAAATACCTAGCCCTCATCCAGTCCTCCTTCACCCCAGCTTTCAATGCAGGACTGCAGGGATGGTATACCCAAGCATCTTTGTGTTCTTCTATCTGCTCAGGAGGACCTAGGGCACAGGTAACCGTCCCCCCCTCTCCCCAAGTTGCTCAGCTTAATTGCCAGGTTCTCATAGAAGAGCAGGCATGACCAGACAACTCTAGGTGTCATGTCTTGATACTGGAGAGGTTCTTCCCATTCCAGTTACATTATTTCCCTCATCCTTTCCTAGCTGAGGTCCTAAATGCGGTCTCTCTTGCTGGAATTACAGGCTCACTTATGAGGCTGTGTTATGAGCAGTAGAGGTGACTGAGAAGGAGACCCTTCAAATTGCAGTGCAGAGGAGGGCTCCCCACACTTCCCCCTCCTTAAAATCCTGCAGAGGAAGGGGGAAAGAAAACCAAAGCATTCTCCTGTCGCCGCGGCAACCATAAAACCCCCAGCTAAATCCATCTTGTGAGCTCACCGCCCCATTAAGATGCAGGGCCAGGCTCCGCGCCAGCCCAGCCACATTCATTTGTGCGAATAAAGGTGGAGGAGGGGGAGGGGAGCAGGCTCTGGAGGGACGGGGAAATGGCGAGAAGAGGTTATTTACACCACCGTCCTGACCTTCTGGAGCAGCGCTGGCTCCGATAAATAACACGCTCAGCGCCATTTCAGAGCAGGAGTGGGAGGTGCAGGAAGGGAGCAGGGTCTGGAGGAGAGCCCCCACGCAGGTGCGCGTCTCCGGGTTACTAATGGCTGAGGCGGGAGCAGGCAGCTGGCTTTGGGGGTGGTGGAGGTAGAACTCAGTTCCCTGGGACTCCCACTGAGAAAATACCATCACTACCCCACCCCTGGCGCCAATTTCCAGGCAAGGGGACTGAGAGATGCCAAGGAGGCAAACAGTCCCGTAAATTGGGGATGGGGGGGCAGTCGGGGAGAACGCTGGGGAGTCTCTGAGGTAAGAGGGAAGAAATATTGGAAGATGGGGAGTGAGGGGGATGCCAGAGGAATAGGAGCAGCTGCCAAAAAGCGGAAGAGGTACACAAACATCACACAAAGGCAGTTTGGAAAAAGAAATCTGTTTTATTCCTCTTTGCACAGCGCAATATATGAAGGGGGCTATCTCCTGATTCCATACATTTCTTACACAAAAATGCCCCCTCAAATATGCTCAGTTATGCGCCCCACTTCAGTGTTGGAGAATCTGCAGTTAATGGGTTGGGCAGAAAGCTGTCTCAGGAAGGTTTTTTGAAACATTTTTGTGGGAAGTTTGGGGTCAAGAGGAAAGATTAGATCCAAGAGTGGGTGCTCCATCCTCCATCTTCCTGGGGAAATCCAAATCCTGAAGGTTTTCTGAAGAAAGGCCACTCTCTCAGCGACCTAGGGAGGGGAAGAGCCCAGACCTATTGCCTGGGTGTAAGGCTGAGGCAGAGAGAGGATGGGGTTAAGCAGCAGAGGTTGCAGACCCAACGCAGAGGAGTGAAAAGCATGTGGGGAGCAAAGGGGACTAAGAGCCCAGAGGCCCAAGTCATAAATTCCACCCCCTCCCTAGTTCTGAGCAGAAACTCTTCTTCCCAAGACTAGAATGGAGTTTTAGTTCAGGGACTGGCTTTCCTCCAGGCCAAGCCAGACAAAGGGATAATGAAGGTGCCGAGTTAAGGTAGCAGACCAAGAGATGGACATTCCCACCGTAACACTCACAGACCACAGCAGTTTTGAAGCTAGAAGCCAGAATCAGAGTAAAGAATGCAGCTGTGACTCAAATACAGAATTTTATAAGTCCATATCCAATAAAATTTAAATCACTGCTTCTTCCACTCTGTCCCCTGCCTGTGAGCTGTTCCAATCTTTTTTCCAAGGCTGGAGGACGAGGCATTAAGAAGGAATGCAAGAAAATGCTGAGGCCAGTAAGTGGGGCTGAGGCTGCGACTGGACATACCTCTCCCCACCCCCCTTCTTCTACAGAATTCTCTCTTTCCCTCCCCTTGTTGGACATATGGGTTGTTGGGATAAAGGCCGGGTCAAGGTAAAGGGAGAAAACACTCAGCACATTCTTTCTCCTGCTTTGATCTGAAGTGTAGCTACAGCAAAGGGCATAGAGGTTGAGAAGAAAATAAGGGGGGCAGGAAAGCATAAAGAAGAGGGGCTCCCCTGCCCTGCGTCCAAATCTGCCAGGAGCTTCATCCCAGAGCTGCCAAAAGGAGAGAAGGAATGGGAAACCCCTAAGGGCTTGGAAGGGGGGCCAACCACAGATAGGATGGAGAGATTTAAGAATCCCTTGTGATCCCCAAGATGACCCTGAGAGCATCAGTTGGGGGACTGGATGAGAAGTCACAGCAGACATGTGGATTTTTTGAGGGGGTGAGGAGCCAGGAACAGTGGGGTCTTCACCGAAGGAGTGACCACTTGATCTGTTCTTTGGCTGACTGCAGCACCTGCAGGGACAAGGGTGGCATTGAGGGGCTTGCTGGGGAGGGGGGAAGGGGGCAGAGATGGGATTGGGGCTCTCCTTCCCCTCATTTGCCTTCCCTGCCCTTAGAAAAATGACAAATAGAAAATCCCCAAGGGTAGAGGAATGGTAAGAAGCTCTCTAAGGCTCTAGAGCATTGTCAGTTTGGGAAATTGCAAAAAAGTTCAAATCCATTGGGAGGATGAAGAGAGAAGAGGTATACCTGAGAGGAAAGAAAAAGACTGGGGGTTACTGGACACATGTTAAAGGGAGGGGTGTGTTACCAAATCCAGGTGGACTTCTTAATGAGAATTCCAAATGGGCAGAAAACAGAATCTCCCCCTTCCCAATCAAATAGATCTATTTGCAAAATAGCAGGAAACCTGCATATGCTAGAATATGCGTTTCCAGTTTAGCCGTCATTTGAATAATAAGACAGAGAGGGAGGGAGGGAAGAGAGAGAAAGACAGATACACTCTGTGTGTGTGTGTGTGTGTGTGTGTGTGTGTGTGTGT